AAAAAAAAAAAAAAGGGGAAAAAAAATTTTTAGGTTTGGGGGGGGGGGGGCTAAAACAATTAAAAGGATGTTTCGGTCTTCAGCAGACAAGACAAAACAAGACAAAACAAGACGAAACAAGACAAAACAAGACAAAACAAGACAAAACAAGACAAAACAAGACAAAACAAGACAAGACAAGACAAAACAAACATGACAAAACAAATAAATAAAAATTTAAAAAACTTATGCGTTCTAAGATTCTGGTCGCAATTCTGTCTCTGTTTAGAAAGGAAAACCAACATTTTAGTGTGCCTAATAATGTATTATATTTAAAAAAAAAAAAAAAAAGAATTGGCTAATATCTCAATGGCATTTGTAGAGTGCCATCTTCTTAGTGTGTGCTCTCTGGCAACACGATTTTATTTTCGGGTTTGAATATGATAACCACAACATTATGCGTTGACGTTTTATAATAATTCCTCTTTAGATATGACACCGCTCTTAGAAAGTGCTTTCAACTCCTGAGTGCCGTTTCACTGAGAGACAATGCGCTCACAATGGAGCTGCTGAGCAAAGAAGAGACGAGCACTATGGCGCAAGGGGACAATCAAACCACCAAAGGGGCTCGCATGTCGGACCCTGGCACGAATGTACTGGCTCAAACGGACCACTCGGTGATTGGTGACCCGGCGGCACATCTGAAACCAGCTGACTCCGCGCACAACCCAGGTCTCCCTTCATCGGGGCCTCGAAATAAAGTTCTAAGCTTGCTCCGCGCGCAAGAAGCGGGCATGAGTTCAGATAGTTTTTCTAATGATGGCTCATCTAATGATTCGCAAAATGTGAAAGATATTAAGCCACGCCAAACGGGTCAGAAGAGCGTGACCAAAACGGGTCAGCAGAGCGTGACCCAAACTCCAACAGGGCAAGTGAGTTCAAGGCATCAGATGTCAGGTGCTTGGAGAGCTAACCAGGAGACAACAGCTGCGCAGAGTAAAAGTTGTGTGGCGCAAAAGACGACCAGCCAAGAGCAGAACCAGGGTCAAAGGTCAGGAGAATCAAGAAGAGGGGGGGGGCATGACGTAAATTTCAGTCGTTCGCATGCAACCGGGTCCGACACCAAAATCACGGATCCAGGAGGAAATAATGGACAACCGGTGTTGAAGGGTTCAGTGGATGAGAAGCTGACGATGGCCGAGGAGAGGTCAGAAAGGGCTTCTCGTGGGAGAGACACTGGCAACAAACCTGACCCCGACAGCGTAACAACGACCCACAATTCAAATTCGGGTAGTAATCAGGTTGAGTCGAACAACTTAAAAGACGGCAGCATCGCTCCGCCCAACAGCAGATGCTACACCGCAAACAATTCACCGAGCAACCCATCGCTGCACGAGAAAAAGGCGAGCTTCTACAGCTTGGACGTCCCGAGCCAAGAGGCGCGCAACATCACGGAGATACGCGTGGAGAGAGGATTGATAGCGAAGTACGCCCGGGAGACGGTTCAAAGCTCGCTCAGGTCGGCCCACAATTGGGAGAACTCGGTGCGTGATGAATCTAGGCCACATTCCAATGAATTTAAACCTTCGTACCAATCACCAGCTCCGTTCAAACCAGATCAAAATGGAGGCGTCACTGACGCCAGGAAAGGACTCAACTATGTTAATGAAACTCAATTCTGCTTTGGGGCAGATGAACTTGGGGAGAGCAGCGGGATTTCCAGAGACCGGTCTTTCTCCGCCTCCAGAATGACCAAAATCGCTGACAGTTTCATCCCTAGCAACGGGAGAGAATCTGAGCTGATTGGCAAGTACGCCACCCCGAGGGGACAGAAACGGTCGCTTCTGGGGACAAACTACAACAACTGTGAGACGCCCGCACAGCGCGTGGAGACGGTCGGTGACGGGGAGAGTGAGGACAGGCTGGAGTTCGATCCCAGTCAAGAGGTCACTATGGAGGCGCTCGGTGTTCATTCAGACCACCACAGTCGGAGAGTGTGCACCGTTAGGCCCATCTCGTCGGACCCCGAAGCGTCCACCGAAGACGATGAAACAAAGGACGGTGCCGTACCCAAGAACTGCATGCATCGTCCACGCAATGGTCAGAGGAGAGTCGTCAACCTCAGCGAGTACGAGGTGACGGCCGGGTTGTTCATGGCACCGAAGGACATAGATTTTAAAGAAGCTGCAGAGGCTGTCGGGGAGGTCTCCAACAAGTATAACAAGGAGGATCGAGACATTCAGGCCTCAACTCCAAACGTTGCACCACAGAGTTTGGCCAGTAAAGAAATTGAAGAAACGAAAGAATGCGGTCACTCTGACCAGCAAATGATCGTACAGCAAAATGGGTTGGAAGACAACAGCATTGAAGTGACCACTGTATCCGTTCACGTGGATGATAATCGATTCAACCCAATGCCTGGACATCAGACACCAGCACCCGCTGATACTTTTTCTGGGGAAAGAAATCGGGATAGTCATTTAAGTTGTGATCTGGACTTTCCAAGAAATGCTTACATGGCTTCTTACGGGCAGAGTGACTTGCATTTTAGAAATCAATATCCGATAGCATCTGAGACCAGGTCGTGTGCGAATAACGACGATCTGCAGGTGTTATTGAAAGGCCAGGAGCAAAACAACAGAATAACAATGTCCGAGAATCCGTGTGAAAGAAGAGGGTACTATGAACTGTACGAGGCTATATCCACAAGCCAGGATGTGTCCACATCCCAGAGTGTATCCATGTCACACGCGCACGAGGACACGAGTCAATCGGGTGGAAATGTCTTGACGCTATACGAAGTCTGCAACGAACCTGGGATACGGTCTGATTTAACCCCAATAGCCAATCGTCCATTAAAGAGCAACTTAAAGAAGGAGACCCGTTATTTGTATTACGCAGCTGAGGCTCAGGGAGAGCTGCCTCCGCCGAGTGAAGTTGAAAGTTGTTCTGAAATAGGGTCTGCTCAGACCTTTGACGCCCAGCGGTGTAACGCGGCGCTACTGACACACCGTCCGCTGAAATGCACGAAGAGAGTTCGGTTCGACTACATCGTCAAGTTTAATGACAACACGGAAAAAATCGACAGTCAGCCCACGAGGTCGAATTTAGATCAGGATTTCAACGACTCCCAGCTTATGTTATCACATGCGTTTTCCACCACTCATAATAACAATAACAACAACTTTGTTTCGTGTGCGAAGGTAAGAAACTGTAGCGAAAAGAACTGTACGGCTCGTTCTGAGAGTCGAGTAAGCTACAGTTTGAATGGTGGAGTCGAGAGGGAGACGCTGAAACAAGGCGATACGGTAATCGGCTGTTACGAGGATAAGGTATCAGAAAACTGCAACAATTCCTCCAACAAGGAACGGGTTTGCGTTGTTTTCTCCGGTAAATATCAATCGGGAAGGAAGCCCATGAGTGACGTCCCTGTACGGGGACCTGGTGAGCGTAATCAGGCGCAGTCCGCGCGTACAGAAAGCTTGGAATGGAGACTCTCCAACGGCAGGTCAAACAGAGAACGGCTTATTTTTCATATTCCCCGTCGGCCATACAAGTTTCGTCGTCCAAAAAGGCCGAGGCGGTGCATGGATGCGGAAGGGACGAATAGCATGTCCGAGCAGCGTGGGGTCGAGGGTGAACCCGCCCCCTTTTTGATTCCGCGTAGCTTGGAAAGTCAGCTTGCATCTTCCAGGTCTAATATCACTGATCCGCCGACCTCACTTAGGTTAACTGCAAAGACGCCGAAGTTTGGGTTCGTCAAGGAAGCTGTGCATGACAAAATACTGTCGCATAAGGGAGAAATTAAACCGGAAGCGAATCGCTTGATCAATTACAAGAATTCCCGAGACAGTTTAGTGAAGACAAAGTCTAGGAAACGTTTAAGACTTGGAATTCGTTTCCGTGGTCGTTATATCTGTCATCGATCCAAGCCACACAGACGATGCGTAAATCAATGTCCAGCGATGAACCATGTCTACTGCAATCCTGGGTTCACGTGGTCTCACGAATGCTTGCATTCTGGGGGAGATCTCATACAGTCAGAAATCGGAGCACCACCTGAGTTTTCTGCGGACGGAGAATACCCATCAGTTTTCTGTCGTACCGAAAACTACTCGCCATGTGACTTAATGGAGCCCCTGGATTCACCACCTGACTCGTTCCCAACGGAAGAGAGCTTCCTGTCTGATCGCTGTCATTTATTATCGAAAGATCTAGAAGATTGTCCTCTTAAGAGAATGCGCGAAACAAATCAACGAGGATTTAGATGTCAACAAAATGAGTCCTATTTTTACTTGCATCCGCAAGAGGAACTGTATTGTCACAAGTATAACAAATATCAGCCATGTTGTCTCACTTGTCAAAAAGATCAGCCATGTTGTCACACGTGTCAACAATATCAGCCATGTTGTGACTCTTGTCAACAAGATCAGTCATGTTGTCTCACTTGTCAAAAAGATCAGCCATGTTGTCACACGTGTCAACAATATCAGCCATGTTGTGACACTTGTCAACAAGACCAGCCATGTTGTCACACTTGTCAACGAGATCAGCCATGTTGTCACACTAATTGTCAACAAGATCAGCCATGTTGTCACACTTGTCAACAAGATCAGCCATGTTGTCTCACGTGTCAACAAGATGAGGCATACGGTAAAAACTGTCGACATAATCTGCAAACTTTTGTCAAGTTTCATCATAAAGAAAACATTCATTACAATGATCCAGTACTGGAAGTCAGCAACTTTTCTTTATTTAACGTGAGCGATCACACTGAAAGGTCCCCTGCCTCCACTCCGGGTCTAGAAGACCCCAAGAGCTACCACACTGACCACGAGCTTCAAGTAGGTCTAGAAGACCCCAAGAGCTACCACACTGACCACGAGCTTCAAGTTCCCGAGATATCAAATCCGCTCAAAGAGACAAGTGTGAGAAAGAACAGTGGCTATTTTAAAAACATTGGGAAAAGCCTAAAGCTAATCATGTCTTGGTGTGCAAAACGAGCCAAGCAAAGGACGTCATCTGACTCGGAGGCTACTTGTCCTATCATGAATTCCATCAAACAAAGAGAAATTGTGTCTCCAAATAGCCGTATTTTAGAGGATGACATCAGAGTTTCCGGTAAATCTCCCAAACATGTTTCAGAGTTGATTCACGGTGTAATCAACCTTGGATATGACAAGCCAACATTCATTTTTCCCAGTTTAAAAGCTGAGCAGGTTTGCGACCCCTGTGATCCAATGGGGAGTGCCTTTAGGGATACGGTCACGGTGGACAGTCTTGTCCTGAGCCGTCAGTTGGTGCATGAATCGTCTGATGAAGAGAGTGGTGGACTGCCAAACAGTAAACAATGCGCCATGTCTAGAACGTGTTCATTGAGGGAACTCCTGCTCAGGGCTTCTCAAAATCAAATGACCATCCACAATAGCAATAACAATGCTGAAATAAATGGTGATGAAGAGAGCGACCGTGGTGAAAGCGGGGGTGTCGATACTATCGTAAACGGTTCAAACATCAAAAGGGACATTGTCACAGAGGGTGTCCAAAGAGACAACAGTCAAGCCACAGAGGGTGTCCAAAGAGACAACAGTCAAGTCACAGAACGTGTCCAAAGAGACAACAGTCAAGTCACAGAAGGTGTCCAAAGAGAAAACAGTCAAGTCACAGAGGGTGTCCAAAGAGAAAACAGTCAAGTCACAGAGGGTGTCCAAAGAGACAACAGTCAAGTCACAGAAGGTGTCCAAAGAGACAACAGTCAGGTGACAGAGGGTGTCCAAAGAGACAACAGTCAAGCCACAGAGGGTGTCCAAAGAGACAACAGTCAAGTCACAAAGGGTCTTCAAACTCACTGTAGCGGTGGTTTTCTTGCGAGTCGTCCCAGAGACAAGAACAACAACTCTGTGAAGGGAATCAAGGCTTGCCCACAACCACCATTGAGGAAACGTTATTCCATAAGGCGCAGCGAGGCCAGTGGGAAGCCAGGCGGTCTAAAGAAGGAAAGACGCGACACCAAGCCAGTCCCGGCTGGTAAGTGTGCCTTTCTTGAACCAGCTTCGCGACTCGGCACCTGCAGGGCTCGGCACGTGGCTAAGATCGCTAACAAACAACGCGTCCTAGCCGATAGTGAAAGTTTGTGGGACAGGTGCATCTTTGGCGTGTCTAGTGCTACGGCTGCGGAAAATAAATATATGCTCGAGGCTCCCTGTAACAAATTGGTCAACAGTGGAAATGGTCAACGTCAGAGCACCGAAAAACCTGATGGTGACGATAAGGCAAACAACGCTGAGGAAAACGGGCAGTTGATTCAACAATACACGCTACCGACCTTTATGAGACGTATGACCAGACCCAGTTACAGTGATACTCACGTGGCTGAGTTGGCCGCGCTGCTAAGGGCTGGCAATTTGGAAGGAAATCAACCTCAAGGCCAACAGGTGTCTGGTTATGAAAATAAAGATGTTAAGGAAGACGAAGGCAAAAGGGATCAATATCTCGCATTCAATGTTAAAACCAGTGAAGCTAAGATGGCGCCACTCAGTGATAAATGTAAAGATGTCGGGAACGAAGTCTTTACGTTTGATACAGTATTATCGCAAAGTTCCAAAATGCCATATTCTGATGACCAATTAACTTCATTACCAGAACAGGCAGATATCGCTAGTGTTGCCCTGCCCAAAAATTCCCCACTGAATCGCTTAAAGACGAAGATCCTCAAAACGAAGTTGAAGCTGAGACCTCTGTTTTCAAAGTATGCCACATTCGTTCCGTCGATGCCAACCAAGGCGTTAGTCCAAACCAAAGAACTTTCCAGCAACATGGCGAATGACGCCGCGTCTTATGGCGTTATGGGGCGAAACGCCGAGGTAAACAGTGACACCGGAAGTGGTGCGGCTATTAATGGTATCTTGGAGGAAGTGCAGAAAGAAACAGCCGAACTGGCAGAGCTGTTGGTTTCATCGGAGAAGCAGCTCGAGACCATCAAAAGTATCCACTCAAGATACGTCAATTTCGACGAAAACACTCGAAAGAAGCAACTCCTTAAAGACATTCAAAATAAGCCAGCAGAAAAATGTAAATTGAAATCGTTGTCTGGCTCAGAAGCGCGACAGGAACATTTCATAACAAGAAACTTGGGAAAAAATGAACAAGGGAGCCAAAGTGAAGAAAGAAGTAACGTCCACGTGGATCAGTTGTCAGAGCAGGCAGTCACTTCCCGACACAACAGTGAAAGAGCGAAAGAGCTCGTTATTAATTCGAGTGGCTTCAAAACAAGGCATGCACCACTGCTTCAACATAAGCGTCCAACAGTCTGCTCATCCGTCAATGGGACAGAAACGGAACAGAGGGGAGCGGCCGAGCTCTGTCCAACAAAGCATGGGGCATGGGAGCAAAGGTGGTGCTATGGTCGAACAGCGAACCAGCTCCCACAGGAACATGTGATCCATAATCCTTCCCAATTGTTTGTACCCAGACGATGTGTAAGTCAATGCCGACCATACTCTGCCTGTCTTATAAGGGCAATGCACAAGTATCAATCAGATCCCATGAGTCTATACAAACGGCGGGAATTGCTGGCACAGTCACTTCGAGGTCTGTCGGCCGAAGACGCGGACATCCCTTTGATGAGAAAGTCTTCTCCGGAGATCATGACACATCCTGCGAGGACTCAAGTCCCCCCAGACCACACGCGACTCAAAGTCGATTCATCCGTAGGCAAGGTCCGATCAACAAGCACAGAGAACAGCACGTGCTCGAGCAGGTCAGATTCACGGACCACGAGTGGTGGGCAGGACAGCAATTCTAGACTCGAGGGGGGAAACCTCAGTTCTTGTTTATCGCAAGAAAAATCTTTTCCCAAACAGCAAAAAAGTCCAATTGTTAAAAAATCTGTGACGTTCTCTCCCAACACCAAAACCCTTTACCGTAATCCAACCTGGCGCGGCGACCAGGCCGACAACTTCAATGTGAACATGGTCATCGGCAAAAAATGTTTCATATCGCGTGACACACGACTTAAAACGCTCCAAGCCCCCATGAACCCGGAGGTACTCAACAAAAACGTGTCCGTCAAGCCATCTGCGTCGTCAGTTAAGTCCAAAGTTGAAACTTCGCCAGGTCACTTAAAGCAGCAATCTCAGTTCTATCTTAGCAATCCCGTTGCGAATGACTATGGCCTCAAAATTAAAGACGCATTAAGAAAATATATAGTCAGATGCAACAGTAGTAAGATGTCTCTCGTTCATCGCGAGACTCTGGCCCAACTCCATCAGAGTGGCCAGCAGCTAGAGTCGATCGATGCAACTAGTAACAAAGATTCGGCGAAAACAAGGCCGGCTTCAGGTGGCGAGACTTCACCTCGCAACAAGTCACATCAATATGAGCTGTTTTTTAAGAATGGCACAACCCGTCTGACAGTCCCCGGCGATGAAGTCAACGTCTCCTCCGATGAAAGCTTCAGCAAGGGAGATAGCCGCAGCCTCGCGTTGGGTGAGAGTTGTCCCGGAGGAATGAAGAGTCCAAGTCAGCAACATCTGTTGGTGGAGAGGAAATCCCCGGCATCACGTGAGGGTGTCCAGGATGTACAGCTGCACGATGAATCGGGAACAAATCGACCAAACGAACTTTTAGATTCTCATTTACAGAGCGCGTCTCGCCACGAGCCACCAAAGCCGGTGCCCAAATCCACCAGAGAGCTATCAAACAGAAAAACAAGTTCAAAAATGTCTTTACAGATTTCTCCACAGGTCAAGCAAATTCAAAAAAAAACTCAACAAATCAGCAAAACGGTTCAGATTCATGCAAAATTCGGTTTTGCATTTTCTGATAGCACTTCGGATAATCTTGAATCGACTCTCCCATCGATTAAGCACTATCCCAATATAGGACCCAAAGCAAAGGCCGATGGCTCGCTCGAGCTACCACATTCACCAGATAACCCACAGATCCAGTCACACAAAAATATCTCCACTGAACTGTCCCCACAAAATAGGGCAAATAAACTGTTGATGTCAAGCAAGAGGACAGCTGATATATATTTAACACAGTCACCTCAGAATAAAATGGTAAAACCATTGACACCGTCACCGCAGAGAAAAGTTGATAAACCAGTGACATCATCACCTCAGAGAAAAGCTGATAGACCGTCGACACAGTCACTTCAGATGAAATTTGATAAACCATCAACGCCACCCCCTCAGAGAAAAGTTGATAGACCGTTGACACCATCGCCCCAGAGTAAAATTGATAAACCGGTGACAACGCCTCAGAGTAAAGTTGATAAACCGGTGACATCGCCTCGGAGTAAAGTTGATAGACCGTTGACGCCATCGCCTCAGAAAAAAGTTGATAAAACTTTGATACATTCACTCCAACAAAGATTTGAGCACTCATTAAATGAGTCAACGAAGTGCACGGCTGAGGACATTGTCAAATATTCACCCGGTAGAAATGTTGTCAAGTTGACTTCGCTGTCAGCCGGGAGTCAATCTGATCATCTGCTGACATTGTCACGATCTAGTAAAGTTGAACAAATGCTAACAGCTTCTCTCGTAAGTAAAGCTAAACAAATGCTGGCAGCTTCTCTCTTTAGTACAGCTGAACAAACGCTGACAGATTCTTTTGTTGATAAAGCTGAGCAAATGCCGAAAACGTCTGCCGTAAACAAACCTGAACAAATACAAACAGGGCCAAAAAATGTTAAAATTGATAAAGGACCTTCCAAACTGAAAAGTAACAAAAGGCCGAAGAAAGTGCCACCAAAATCTAAGCCTAAAAAACTGCCTTCTGTCACCGCGAGGGGGCTATCAGTTACCGCTCCGACGGCTTCACGGCTGGACAAAACTGAGCTCCCCGTGCCTAGTCGTGGCAAATTTGATGAATGGCTGGCCATATCAAACAAAGTTCAAGCATGGAACTTGATGAACGTTTCACCCGAGGGTGAATCTGATCAAGTGCTTCCTGCGGTTGTGAATGGTAAAGCTGACAATCAACCAAAAGTCTCACCCCTGACTGAGAGTGATCAATCGAAGAAAGTCACAGCGTGGAGAGGCAACGAGCACTTACTGACAGGGTTGTCCAAAACTGCCGCGTCCCTCAAGGTGTCGCCAAAATGTAACGCTAAAAAAAAGGCTCAAGGCTCGCCAACTGCTAACCTGACTCTATTATCAGATAATAGTGAAGCTGACGACATAAGAATAAATTCGTCTAAGCGCAAGCCGGATAAAGCGCGGAGGCTGGCCAAGGTGACCAAACGGAGTCATTCTGAGAAGCAGCTCATAAAATCAGCCTCGACAAGCAGATCGACGACTGAAGAGACATCATACTCGACCACTCAGATCCCAGCCGACGGTAAGATTCGTCAATCAAGTTTGAAAGTCGAGCCCCACCGCGTTAATTTTGCCACAGGGGGAGCTAGAAGCTTTAATCATCCGCCTCAGTCCGCTGCAAGTGAGAAACCGTTGGTGGCTCTATCTCGCAAACACCAAACAGTCAAAACAACTTTCCCCCAAAATCGTAGAGAAATTTTTATAAAGAACGCGACGCACTACCACCATGACAACCAAGGAAAGCGTGGTGATGCGGCAACCTACCAGCGGGAGACAAGTCCTGCGCTTGACCAACACGTTCAAGGAAGTGACTGTCTCAAATTGCCGCAGAGTTGTTCTCCCGAACACTGTACACATTCCTCGCCCAGCCCGATGAATATAACCGACACGAGCAATCAGGTGAGCATTTCCAATGTCTTCCCAGAGGATAGTGAACTTAGTGACGTGACTGATACTAACGTGATCCCCACCATAGTGCCGGACTTAATCCACGTCTCACGCGAGGACAAGAGATCAGGTGCTATCGAAGGAATGCAAAATTCGTTTCGACCAATCAAACCTGCTAAAGAGTTCAAAACTGATGCAGCCTTTGTGACCAAATCAGACCCAGAAAATGAAATGTACGTGGCATTAGACTTGAAAAATGAAGATAGAACGAACAAGGCAACCGGGACACGGCAAGTGCAGCCTCAGATCGCAGCAGACGATGGGAATAAAGGAAATAAACATCCAAGCAAACAAGAGTCCAGGCGGAATTTATTGAAAGCCGGTCGCCGTAAAAGGAAGAAATTGTCAGCTCGCAAAACTGACAGGATGAAAATATTTCCCCTGAATAAAGTCAGTTCCAAGGTGACTGGAGATGAAATAGCGCCCAAAAGTGAGGCGCGTGTGACTGGGGATGAAATAGCGCCCAAAAGTGAGGCGCGTGTGACTGGGGATGAAATAGCGCCCAAAAGTGAGGCGCGTGTGACTGGGGATGAAATAGCGCCCAAAAGTGAGGCGCGTGTGACTGGGGATGAGGCGGCGCCCAAGAGTCCGGCGTGTGATCTCGGCGGATGCCTTTCAAAACATGGGGGAAAGATAACAAAGGTGTTGAAAACAAGGAATCCGGGTTGTGAAAAGGCGAGCGGATCAGTGAGAACGGGAAATACACCAGGGATCAGCAACGCTTCAACTCCCTCGCACAGCTTTAAGGGTGGGGCTAAACGCGATGTGTCCAGAACAAGCACCGCCCCCAGCGTCACGAACATTGACACGCCAATCAAAGACATGAGACGAAATAAGAGTCATGTCAAAGTACGCGAAAGTAAAAACTTGCCCCCTGACACGGTTAGACATTTTGACCAAACCGAAAACTCGACCTCCAAAATGGTTGGATCAGTTGACAAAACGGAAATTTCGACCACCAAAACGGTTGGATCAGTTGTCAAATTTGAAAATTCGACCACTAAAACAGTTGGTCGATTTAAAAAAACTGCACCAGCTACGGAAATATCCGACCCGAAATTACGAGACAAGAAATTGATACAAAGTCGAAATCCACCAGCAGCGAGTGCGACAGGGCCATCAGTTGGAAAAAAAGAAGCTAGTTGTACCGCAAAGAACACTTCGACCGCTGTTGTCGTGGCCAAAACGCTCCATAGATTCACAGCTGCAGCCGAAACAAAGATGACCCGCAATACAGTAATGGACAGAGTCGACACGTTGAACAGCAGACAGAACGACGTGAGTTCGACCAAAATAAAACCAAACGTCACTAACGTCTCTCAAAAATCAATGTCCTTCGAAGGTGGAACGTCCAGCGGTGCTCCAGCGCAAAGTCTTACACCGTGCCATGTGTATGACATTGACAAGTACAACTTATCGAGGACGCCCAGGGTCAAGAGGATTTCTCACATACCCACGATTCCAGTATATAACGGCACCGGCATGCCCATGGGTGGCCAGGGAGCTGTGGCAGCGAGCACCGGCATGCCCATGGGTGGCCAGGGAGCTGTGGCAGCGAGACGAACTGACCTTGACAGAAAACTCCGACCATCAGAGAAACGAAACCACCCTATTTTTTCTCTGACGAGCTCTGGGATTCAAAATAGCTTGACAACGAAGTTCCCGATGGAGGGAATAGGAAGGCCGTTAAACACCGTGTCGTTCTGTGGGTCAAACCGGAGAATGCCAATGGTGGTAACGAACAGTCATCCCCTGATTGTAACAAACAGCGCTCCACTGGTTGAAACAAGTAGTGGTCCGCTAGCTAAAACAAGCATTGATCCACTGGTTGTAACAAGTAATGTTCCACTGGCTGTAACAAGCGGTCGTCCCCTTGTAACAAACAATGCTCCTCTGATTAAAACAAGCAGTGCTCCCCTGTCTGTAGCTAATAGTGCTCCTCTGATTGTAACAACTAAGACACCATCGGTTGTCGCCCACAAACCGCCATTAGCAGATAGAAAAAGAGCGCTGTTGGTTGAGAAGGCAAAGGACAGGCTAGAACTAGCGCTCACATTGCCTGTCAGTAGGGTACCACCAGAAGATATAAAAGAGATTACATATAAAGAAAATATACCAACCAATCAGAAGAGTGCGGCAGTTGCTTCACACTCAAGTGTCACCGAAAATCTGACCACCGGAAAAATAACCGACCACTGTGAGCAGTCAAATCCTGCCCTTGACATAAACCACAATACCGTGAGTCAAAACAGCAACAATCTTTCCAGAGACACCGAGCTGTACGACCCGAGTCTAACGTATTGTTACTCCAAACAATTCTTCAAAACACACCCGAAGCGCCGCAAGGCACAGCGAAGCTCTCAAACCTTTCGTCACACTGTCCCCGCTGAGAACGTCTACTCGACAATGTACTACTCCTACAGCAACGGCGTGATGGCGTCCAAGTACTCTATCATTCACGAGGGCGCGAGAGAAGGTCAAGGTTTCAACTCATCCTACGTCTGGAATAGAAAAGTTGGTCCCGATTTAATCCGGTGGGTTGAGCAGTCGAAAATTCAAACGGGCGTTATAAAATCTATACGTCGGTTCCGGAAAGCCCGAAAATTATTTTCCGGACCCAGAAAAGGCCAAACGGTTAGAAAAAATTCATCGAACTTCAAAAAAGTATGCTCAGGCATGGATACGTCACAAAAGCCTTTGGGGGCATCCGGCGTAAACAGCGTGTCACCTCATAGGAAAACAAACACAAGAGCTTTCCATGACTTCACTTCCCCATCATCCCCAAGCTCTCCGAGTAGACATGACTTGACAAACAGCAACCAACCTGACTTAGAAATTCAATACCCCAGAGAAATTAAAAGTCGAGCTGAGACGCGTGAAAAAACTCCGTCCAGTAAAATGATCGGCATTGACCCTCCCCCTGGTTGTGAAACGAATATGTCAGCGCTTAAAATCGGGGTTTCAAAGTGCTCTGGTGTCTCCCCTAAAGATCCAGACGTTGGGAAATTATCAGATTGTCAAAACAACAAATATTATGATCTACCAACAAAGACATCCAGGGCTAATGTGGAATATGAGCGTGGGGACGTGCCGTCCACTGTAGTGGAAGAGTCCACGAAAATCTACAGGGAAGTAGCATCTCATGGAATTGCAAAGCCAGTGAACAGTTCAACGAAGGAGAATCGCTACTTGGGTATTGATTCTCAGGTGCTAAATAATGTTCTTAAATCAAATGAACCATTTATCGAACCACGGCCATATTCTTTCCTTGCTCAACGATGGGAACGTAATGTGGTAGACATATATAATAATTTTTTGAATAAAAAATCCAGGACTTATGAAGGTAATCGGGATAAAGATAAGTCTAAGGAAGAGGCGAACACTTCGGGAAGATCGATACCATCGTATTTGCGAGGATACAGCAATTCTCAGTCCTATAAGAGATTGGATTTACCACAGTTCGGTAACTCAGTTTATCGCGTAAACAACGCGGGCCAACGGGAAGTAAATCAGGAGACAACAACGTTCTCTCCAAAGAAAAATTAAAAATTCGCTCCCTTCGTCAACTGACGTTACTTTGGAGATGGTGTCGGTGGGTCGTCGAGTTCGCACTCATGATATCGTCAACTGACAAACCATTCAACCGCCTTACGTCACCATACTTTGATGACAACTTATCTGATCTGTGGAGAGATTGTGACCAGAGTAAAATGCTAAGAGGCCACTCCCCGTACTTATCTTGACAGTGTAGTTAAACAATCGGCTTCATCACTATTACATGCAGAGGTGTTTGTTGAAAAGATGTTCTATTTCCATTCAAAGGACTGGATTTAATTCAGTCTCATTTTTTTTGTGTATAAAGATTATATATATTGTCCTGTTTATTTCATATTTTACACGAATAAAAATTATATCCAATGATCCTCATGAACGTCAATATTTGCCTTTTCTTTCGAAACAATATCCATTGTTAGGGAAAATTTCAATCTTTGTTTTTAAAGTAATTGACAAACTGAAACGATAATGGTGAAGGCATGTTTATAATAGATTTTTGTTTGGTTACATTCAGACAGTGATAATGGGGGTGTCCGTTAATTACGTCAACAATTTTTACGCAATTTTTGACCCCCCACACCCCCGTCAACAACTGTCAAGCTTTCAATGATCCTCCCCTTAAGTAATTATGTCAATATTTTATCACCCCCCCCCAAAAAAAATGATTATTGTAAGTATAGCTGCTATTTTAATATAGTTCCAAGCTGCTGTCATCTTACCATGTAGTAGCCAGATGTTACTCTTTTGTAATAATGGGCATAGTAGCTGATTTATCATTTTCATCTTGCGAAACTGATATCATATACCAGACAAGTCAACATTATCCTCATCTAACCATTTAGTACTTAAAATAGAAGCATTGTCAGTGAGCGCAATAATTGCCATACGCCCTCTCTGTCTCCTGGCAGCTACTCGCATTGGTCGAATCCTTTTTTGTTGAGGAGCAGGTGTTAATTAATTATGCTCAAGAGTGCATTGTCAGTGCTGTTGAACATGCTTTTTCAACATGACTTGTGATGCAAAACAGATGTTACATATTTTGCAAATCCGTTCGAGCAGCGATGTTATTATTGTTACTCACTTTACTTTCCCCTAATTCTCAAAATATCGTATTCATTCCTACTATACAAAATATTGTATTTATTCCTACTATACTAATATTATTAGCGACAAACAGAATCTACAGGTGACGAGAGGCAATTTTTTACCTATCTTGCACTAACAAAGTGTGCTAACATTCTGAACAGCCGTTTGCAGCGCACAGACAGAAACACATTTAATAAATTTATATTGTTAAAAGCCTAAAAAATTATATGACTATTTACACTAATTAATTTTTTTTAATGTAATAACCAGTCAATATTTAAGATTAAAATTTTAATATAGAAAACATGATTGTCGACGTCACCTACTATAGCCCCCACCACTTTTCCCCCTGTTCAACAATTGTCAAACATTTCCAAATCCACCCCCCCCCCTTATTTGTATTGTTTTCTACATTTTACTTTCTGGTTGAATTTCTTTGATCAATTTAATGGAAGAGATATAGTTAAGAAGTAAGAGTATTACTATGAAATGGTTGAGGGAGAATGTCTCAAAGGGGAGTAATTCATTTCAGTATTTTGTTTCCAAAGTTACATTATTTGTCCAGGGAAGTAACTAAACTTCACCTAATACGAACCAATCAGATTAAATCTGACGTGACCTATTTTAAAAGTTTGTGAGGCTTGGAATTTACGAAAGTAAGACTTACTCAGTTAATAGTTAGCTGAACAGTTATTAATTGAGAAGATTTTTACAATCATACAGCCATACAGTCTTTTTTTCATATATTTATGTTATAACTTTCGCTGGAATTAACCACCTCAGGTATGTTAACTTTTGCCAATAATCTGAGTACCGGTATTTTTTTTTAATTTTACACTATACTATGACTATACTTATACTGTCTATACTTCAGTTCACTAATCTACCTGAGACTACCCACTGCACTTTCACACTTCACTAACTAAACTAACTTACACTCTACTAAACTATAATAGTCTTACAGTGTCTACTGATTAACACCGTGTATGTTACAATTAATTCTAATTCTAGCACTAACTACAAGTCAAATACAAATACAATGCATTTGACATCGTTGTCCTATTCAACGAGTGGTTTAACTATAGTAACTAAATGCAGGTGCAGCAATTATAATAGTTTATTTATATTTCATGTGTGACTGTGTGTATTAATATTTAATAAAGATACACTGAGAGCTTACAATACACTACGGTATGTATTGTAATTTTTATTAATTTAATGAGGGACGAACAAACAAACAAAAAGAAAAAAAAAAAAAAAAAAAAAAAAGAGGGGGGGGGGGGGGGGGAAGTCCGCGTTGGACAGCATTTTTTCTTATAAAATATGTGTATATTCAGTTTTGTGAAGATGGCTGCAAAAATCTTGGGTTTTTGTTGTTTTTTTTTGGGGGGGGCACTAACTCTAGTTACGCCACTGCCAAGAAATTTCACTGTTAAAACTATTTTGACTTTATCAATCATTTTACTACAATTATATTATTTTTATTTCAAATAGAATCTTTTCAGAGACATGAATTACTCCCACTATGAAGTTTTCTGCCCAATGAGAGCTAAAAGAAGACAGAGTGATGCTAAATGGCGAGCAAGTGTTGCCACTTGCTATGATGCTCTTAAGTATGTGGTGCCAAATGTTAAACAACTGTCAAAGAGGAAAATTTCAAAGGTTTGGTTCAGTGTGTTATAGAAATTGATATTCATTTATCTGGTCAGAATAAGAAGGCTTTTACTAAGTGTTACTTAGATCAAATACAAAAAGGATATTTTGTACCTTGATAGTTAGTGCTTGGGCCAACTCTGGTCTAAAGTTAATTATCTCATTAGTTATGATATTTTAATCTATATTATTCATACTTAGTTCTTTTTTTTCAGGCTCTGATATTACAAGAATCTGAAAAGCACATCAAGGATCTAGAAGAGGCTATTGGATATATATTGAATGTTGAGTGTAAGTAGCATCAATTTATTGATCAGGTATCCTACTGCAGATGTGTGATGAGAGGGTTATTTGGTGGTGGCACAATTTTACCCTGCTCACTGCACCAAATACTGTACCCATGTGGTGAGTGATAGCTGACAGTTTTAAATATATTTAGTTTATAGACTCAAGAAATACAGGTCCTGGGAATTTTAATTTTTTATTTGACTGTTGCATAAAAAGGAGTTGTTGAAGAAAAACCAGAAGAAAAATTACCAAGAAAAAGGATATGAAGAAAAACTTTGAAGAAAAAAGATCCGAAGAAAAACTACGAAGAAGAAAACTTGAAGAATTTTGACAATATTTGAAAATATACAAATAGTACAGGTTAACAATGTCCTGAATAACATTGAATTACACAGCTAACAATAAACAGGTTAAGTAACTCTGCAATTAAAGATTATGACAAATATATTTAACTAACAAGACAGATGCATGATGACCATATGATACTTGTTATACAAATGGTAATTGAAATTATTCTCTAAATAATGAGTAATTATTGTGGCAGAAATCATGTGGCAGGGTTTAACTTGTAGCACATTTACTATCTTATATTCAGTGTGAGATGTGAGGGCTAACATACAGATCTAAAAATTACTATTGTGTATTACTATTACTGTCATCCATAGTATGATGTCTATGTAAGATGCACATTTAGCCCGACAGTTACTACAATGTTATTAATTATAACAACAGCACATTGCAGTTGGTCTAACAATATTAATACAGCTGTTAATATTATCTTAGCATATGTACCATTTCCTATGTGAGAATTTAGCATGTAGCAGGACAGTTACTACAAATATTTAAAGTAAATATCGCTGGTTAGATCTTCTATATTTTGAGGGCCCACGATCAATGAATTGATCATTTTAGATACTTTTGCATCATTGCTTATGTGTAACCAGAACAACATAATGGTTAGTATTATGGTCATGCATATACTGATCTCTAATTCATTGTAAGAATTCAGCTATGGTTGTATATTCAATCATCACAATAACATGGTTTCGAGTCAAACTGACAGAGCTAACACGTGAGTAAAACACTGCCCAATATAATTAATGAACAGAAATCTTCCATTACTAACACCTAACAATTGCATTCTTTGAAGATAAAAATATAACGGGATATTTGCTTATACTTAAAAAGCGTCCAAATGGTGACCCCAAACAATGTTGAAATTGGGAATGCGATTCAAACATTGAGTGATCAACCATTTGCACAATCCATTGAGTGATCAACCATTTGCACAATCCCTGTAAAAAGAGCCACCTGAACATAGGAGAAAGCAAATACATCAATGGCAGATCTAACCATATGTTCTGGCAGACTCACTGGGGGAAGTTTTAGGAAAATTGAAAATATTTAGAGACTCCAACCTGAATAAAAGTAAATAACCCAGACCAAAACAATGAATATTTATATGGGTCCTTTTATGTTTAGTCTCGACTATCTAAGATACACTTGTATATTTATTAAAAATAAATGGTCTTTAAGATGTAGTAAATAGAAGGTGTTGGACCCCTGTGGATAAATGTGAAAACTCTCTAAATTCCCCTTAATATTACAATATCCTCTAAAGATGTAGAGTTTCAAATATAATAAGATATAGAGAATAAAATCCCCTTTTCGGAAAGATATTATTTATAGCATGATACCCTAAGGTTCCCAATAAATAAATTATTGAGCTTAAACAAAAATCTCAAATTGTGATTCCCCATCTAAGTCTGGTCTAATGGTGAATAGATGCAGTTCGAGAAATATTATGGTAGCCCAACCCTAGGTTGAATTCCATGACGGTGTAACTTGGTTTGTGGCACAGACCCACACATGGCCACATCACTCTTATTTTTCTTGTATAATTATTGTTAAGTGTGAAAAAAAGTGAAGTTAGCTTACTTCCCCTTTACAGAAATAGGGAAGGTATTCTTTGAAATGAACATTTTCAAAAGGGACCACAGAACATACCTCATTAGATTACTCATTTTCAATAACATTTATATTATTCTCATGACTTATCCAAAAAATTATCTCTAATAATTTTAAATGACAAAATGATGTGTATCATGAATTGTAATGATGCATGCATGCATCATGTTTTTAAATTGATAAAAAGTCAAAATTTTAGTTCCATTTCCCACAAGTTTTTTTTTTGAAAATGACTTTTGAAAAATAATTAATTTTATTTAAATACTATAAGCATTCCTCCTTTAAGCCAGATTGAAAGTAAAAGTTGCCCAGACCTCTGATATGGCACAGAGAAAGCTAAACAAGCATATCTGCCTTATTCAGCAAACAATTTTAAAAATTGAATTTTTAAATAAATTGTTATATCAATATGAAAAGGGTGTATAAATGAAGACCAGTCATGAGCCAGTAGCTAATATATATTAGAGAAATTATATTCAGATTATTCCAGAGTTTTAAGGTCACCTGAACTAGAAACTAAATATAAGTTGTGATGATTTTTTTCTGTCTAGCGATGGCTCTTCAGCATAGAGTTGTGATGTGGGAGAAACCAAACATGCCCCTATAACTCCCACCCTAATCCCATCCTTTGGGTCCTCATCTCACGCTTTACAAATAAGCCGGAATGAATAAGGAGGCTTGTGATACCATGCTTGCTGCTTGCCTCTGCCAGAAAGAATGTGATACAAGTTATGGGCCTTAAGAAGCTTAAGATCAGTACCACTAAATCATACTAGCCAAGTTATTGCTATCTGCTGTATAACCTTCAAAAGAGAGGATGAACCTTTTAGTAACCAAGAGCTAATGTGTACCTTGTTATGCCTGTAGTTATACAAATCTGAAAATGTTACATAAATTGTTTGAATATTTTACACATTTGAAAGAATTCCATGTGGCAACTATTTTTACTAAAAATTAAGTGCATGCTCCATTTTTTATTTTACTTTATGTTTCACAGGCCCAAATAAAGGTAAAGAAGTATTGTGGAAGAATGAAGCTCATTGGTCACCCTGCTCATTGGACACATTGCGTGCTGATTTTTCAGAACAACAGCGCAGAGTATTTCACACGTAATTTTTGCTATAAATATCATCATCAATGACGGTACACACCGTGATTGAAGGCTCTGGTCTGCTTCACAACATCCTTCCCCTTTTCCCCTTGCATACTTTATATATGTATATATTTCTAAATTCTGTATATTAATTAACATGAGATTTAAGATGATTCAAATTGTTTAGCAAGTAATTTTTATACATTTTACAACTGCATGAAATAAAATAAAACTTTATCAGAAATCACTTCAAGAGAAACACATGTAGTCTTATTCAAAAATATATATTTATTTCACAGATCAGCGCATGGACGAAGGTGCTACAACCTTCTTCATGACATAAAAGAAGAAGTATTTAATATGAAAGCAGACCCTAAACAAATGGTGTTTGTCAAAGAAAGGTTTGAAAAAAATTGTACTGGTAATGCTACAGTCAATTTTTCACAGATAGGAATGATGGATGCTGCATGCAGTACTGAAGGAGCTGGCAAAGGAGAAGGTCAGGATATACAGTTGACAGTTCTTGATCAGAGAAAAAAAGGACAGTCGAAAGATGTAACACATGTTTCTCAAATAAACTTTGCTGGAAGAAACTTTGGTCAGGTGATTAAAGTTATAATGCATCAATATTAACTAACCAGTCCTTGAAGGAAAACTTGAATCAACTCTTTCTTGATTTATTACTTTTCACCATTTATTTCATTCAGTTAATTTTACAACTTTTAGTTAGTCATAACCTTTTGGAAGGCAATTTGTCAAAATTTAATTTACTTACTTTATTTAAAACTACTTCAGAAATAAAGCGTCAAATTATTGTAAATAAAAGAATACTTTGTTGTTGGTTTTTTTTTAATTCTTGACTAGTAAAATATAATCTTTTTTTTAATCCAATAGCTGGTTAGGCAGCAGCCTAGACCGAGACAGAGACTTTGCAGAACTGAAGATGACTCATCACTTTTGAAGGGTTATACAGAAAACAAAGGCATTCCTTTTTCTACTGTTTATCGTGAAATATCCACCACGCAACAAGCAACTACAAAAGGCTCAAAGGATGATGATGAACAGCCTCAGTTGGTCCCAAATATGGCTTCTACCTTAAACAGTGCCTTTGTGACAACCAAACAATCTTTAGAAAATGACCTAATTACTGGAACCGGTTGTACTTCTATCAAATCCAGCTATGAAAACAGTACAGCTCTAAACTCAAGTATTGGGATTATTCAAGATAAACATGAGGGGCAAAGAAGCATAAAAGTTGAAAGTGTTGGTCGGGAATTTTATATTCTCTCTCAAGGAGAAGACTACACGTGTTTGTTGAAGGCACTCAAATGTGAAAAAGAACAAGTACTGCTTTTTTTTATTAGAGTGATAGATTTATTATTTTTGCTCTAGCTGTACCTATACTCATTTGAATTTTAGAAAATTATTCAGTATGAAATGTAGAACTTATAACAGCTTACCTCAATATTTTATTTAAGAAATAGCTTCATTGCTTTGCAGTGGGAAGTTTTATTCTGATGTAATGAAAACATCTCAGTGAAAGTATATGTTCCAAAAGAAGCATAAGATTTTAAAAACATTAAAATTTAACTAGCATATAAATTTCTATATTGATTCTACTTAATTTCAGGAAGTACCTTCACTTGCAGCACCCACCACAGCTATCAAGGTTCAGCAATCAAGATTACAGAGTTCATATGAAGCAGCTGAAATTTTTAAAAGAAAGATGGATTTTGGAAATACATTAAAACTGTTTCCAAGCCAGAAAGATGGACTCAGAAACAGCAGTGATAGAACACCTGCTAAAAAGAAAGTTATCAGCCCATCTTGTGGCGATTTTAACAAAATAGAAAGTAAACATTCAGCAGAACCAATGTTTACAGTTTTTAGCAGTCCAGTGAATTTATTGTGTTTAGATGCAAAGAAGGAAGTTGATGTATCACAAGTTTCAAGTAAGAGAAATAGGCTTCAAATTTGTTAAAACTGTCACCTCAAAACTGATCACTTAGCTAACTTGCAAATACCACTGAAATATCGAGGGTTCATATAATTTAAATAATAGATGTTTGTAAAAAGTATTTTAAGGTGCTGCAGTGAAGGGGATACTCTTTAAAAATATATGTCATATTACTCATGCATGCCAAAGTCACACAATAAAAACCCTGTATAAAGTATAAAGACTCGTAAAATGCCTATAACCCCCCCCCCTCCCCCAAATATCATTGTCTATCAGTTTTTTTCTTGTCTGGGCAGCAATCTTTGCCCTTGCATATGGGATAATTTTATAACTTGGCATGTTGATTTAATTGAAATTTTTTTAAAACTTTTATTTACTTAAATTCATTATATTTGAAATTTAAACCAATTCTGGCATAGCTTTACTGCCAGACCAATTTCTTATGTAGAAATTTTGTATGTTTTCTAATCTAGGCAAAGGAGATCCTTTTTTAAGCTCATTGTGCACTCCTAAGTCCAATGCCTCTACTCTTTATGGTCAGTCTGATAGTGATTTACACATCAAGCGACCAACAAAACCTATGTCTGCAAGAAAAAAGGTTTGTCAATATTATGTCAACTCCATATGTTACCCTTAATGACATTATCTTTAAAATTAAAATTACATAAGTAACTTGAAGGAGTTGTGTAGCAGATATGTAAAGGTTTGTTTGCACAAGTACCTAAAAATAAAATGGTTTGAAAAGATCCCAAATGAGATCCTATGAAAAAAGATCAGGAAATTTTTTTGTGGAGCACAAATTACAGAGAAAGGAAATGAAGATGAATAGGCCATAAACTGAGTAAACCAAAATCAAATGTTATTTGACAGTTACCAGAAACTTGTTTCAAAGAAATTTCGACAGAAAATTTATTGAAGGAAATTTGGTAGAATCTTTTTTTTCAGTTCACGCTTTAAAATTTTTGTCAAATTTCTTTTTGAAGGTACTATACTATATAGTAAAACAAAATAATGCGTTCAAAAAGAAATTTGACACAAAATTTTAACGTATGAGCTGAAAAAAAGATTCAACCAAATTTCCATTCTATCAAATTTCAGTCAACAAAATTTCTTTCAAACAAATTTCCGGATACATTATTTGACAGCTCCTGTCATGGAATCCAGTGGCCAATGTAAATAAAGAAACTCGGAACACATGGAGGAGGGACCTCATCAGAGACAATGAGAGAAACAACAAGAAGTGGAAAGAATAGCTAAAAACAATTTTTTTTTTAAAGAATTAGTGAATTGCTCATGCACCAATAGGAGCAAAGAAGAGGATAAAAAAATATATTTTTAAAAGACTTTTTAAGATGAATTTAAGTGCACTAAAAAGTAGAAAATAATTTTCTGGACATAAATTGCGCAAAGAAAATATGTGCAGGAGGGTAATAAGGCACGCTATGAAACCAAAGGATTCCAATTAAATGTAGAAGACGCTTAAATATGTTGGGTTTTTTTTTCTAATTTTTTACAATATTTTTTACACACACAGACTTTTTTTACTTGATTTTAGAGAAAATTATTTTCCACTTTTTAGTGCAATTAAACTTTTACAGAATTTTTTAAAACTATTTTATACTTTTTAGCATGAAAATTTTAATCTGTAAATTATCAACAAAATGTAGTAGTGTGGTGGTTTAGGGTTGACTTAGGCGACCACGCCAAAACACTGTAGTAGTGTAAATTGACCCTGCTCGCAGCGCCAACAACTGTAGTCGAGTGGTGACGTAGTTTACAGTTTTTTTAAATAAAATCAAAATGAAACAATCAGGTCTCGAGGACTATAGCTTTATTAATGTTCTACTATGAGGAAAACAAGAAAAAGGGAAAGAAGAAGAGAAAGAAAAAGAGAAAGAAAAAGGACAATATCTGAAAATAAACAAATAGTACAGGTTAACAATGTCCTGACTAACATAGCTAATAATAAACATGTTACATAACCACGTAATTACACGTGGCGACAACATATACTTAACTAGAAAGCATGATAAGTGATACGTAAGTAGTATTGGTTCATACACAGGGCAAAGATAATTATCTTGTACTACGAATGTTTTAACTATAAAAGAAACCACGTGCAGTGTTTAATTTGAAACACGTGCACAGTGTTAATGCTACACACAGAACCAGAGTGCGATGTGAGGGCTAAC